ATTTTATGAGACGTTTGAGACTCACAGGGTCTAAGTGAACTGTCCAGTGTTATGCAACTATAAAATGTTGTCTCAGGTTTTAAATTCACCCCCAACTCCAATGTCCTTATTTTTTGTTTTGTCACAATAACTCATTTGCTGTAAGGGGTGAAGACATTTTTATTGCAAGGTAATCTACATTCTATTTGGATGTCAAGTTTTTTTTTGTTTTTTTTTTTTTTTTTTAATCAAGGCCTCCAGAAGTATTCATAGCAATTGCTGTAATGGTTCTAGAACATTCAGAACATTGGACACAACCTCGTAATGCCTAGAAGGGTTAGTTCATTTTGAACCAAGAAAAACTCTCTTCCACAAGCAGCATTCTTGACTCTTCAGATAATTACAAATTTGTTTCTTATTATAAAAAAAAAATAGGAAAAGAATGTAGGCTGTGTACTCCAGCAAACAAAATTCGGAGTACAAGCTTTACAGCCAGTAGGTGAAATATCTTCATGTAGCAAAGGCCACACTTCCCTTACCACACGTCACAGCCGCTACCTCAACTCACGGGAAACAGTAACCATTAGGACAGCCTCTGCTGTAGAATGCAGAACATTGCTCCAGGGAAATCTCACCAACCCTCTTCCAGAAGTCTAAATTTTATTTTTGCTTTCCATGTTTTGAAAGCATGCCATATGAAAACACATAAACTCTTTGGAAATAAAGCCGCGTTTTGTAGCACCTCCGTACGTTTATGTTGTTATTGCAATGCTCGAAAATTATTTTAATGTTACAATTCGAGTAACGGAAATGTGGAGATGAGAGTCTGACTGGGATTGTAGAGATGACGTCATCTCCCTGAGGACGAAGGCCGTGCTAGAAGTTGAGTCCAGGAATGCTGAGCTCTACTCGAGTAGCCAGAAGGGTGAGAGTGGGTGGCAACGATGAATATATTAATACAGGTAAAGTCGATGTTAGTTCCTCAACTAGCAAATGGACATACCTGCGTGATCTCTTAACATCATTAATTACTTCTAAAGATTTTATATATAATCCACTTGGGACCCCCCCCCGCCCCGCCACCAAAGTGTCCATATTAGATTGAGAGGAGATATGTTTAGAACAACCAGAACTATTTCAGGAGAGTTCACCATAGGCCACGGTCAAGCATAATACTCTTTTTTCTTAAATGTTTATTTTTGAGAGAAAGAGAGAGGGAATGCGAGTGGGGGGAGGGGCAGAGGGAGAGGGAGGCAGAGAATTCCAAGCAGGCTCCATGACATCAGTGCATAACTCACAAACCACAAGATGATGACCTGAGCTGAAATCAAGAGTCTGACGCTTAACCAGCTGCATCACCCAGGTCCCTCTCAAGCATAATAGTCTAATGAAGCCTGTTGGTTACCACCTTTTGTGATGGTTACTTTTTGGGTGGCTGGGCTCCAATAGTCATTTATGTCATCAAACACTAATGTAGGTTTTCCGTGAAGGTATTTTGTACATTAGGTTAACATCTACCTACCTACCTACCTACTTGTCTACTTATCTATCCTTCTCTTTCCCTGGAAACCTTAATTTATAAAGATTTTGGTACTAAGAGTGGTTCTAGAAGGACAGAATGTTGTCAAAGAGGAATTTTCTGAAATAGATCTTGAGTGTCTGGAATTGCTTCTCTAATGTGATTAGCTTTGAAGACAGTAATGACTGTATCCAGTGGCAGAGAGGACCCTGATGGTCCATGGTTTCATATGGAAATAGCGGTACACAAAATATCACCATTAGCTACTCCTGATCAAACATAAAAGACAAGGCTCCAGGCGGCTGTCCATCTCCTCAGGACCTATCCCTACTACACCCCCCTCCACACCTGCCTTTAGACCTATAATTGGACTCAAGTCCCAGGAGGTTCCAAAGGGTGAGATACTCCATACAACAACAAAAACAACAAAAAAAAGCGTGTTTACAATATGGAGGCAGAAGGCTGGGGAATATATGGGGGAATGGACACGAAGGGTGTGCAGTAATAGTGGAAGGAACGTAAAGTTGGACAAGGCTGACTTGATGGCTGTGGGAGCACTAGGCAGAGATCTTGAATTTAGTGATGCAGCTTGGAACTGTGGCATTAGCATTCTGATAGATTGGTTGGTGGGCTGGCTGAAACTTGGCACCGAAAGTTTGGTACACTGTAGAGGAAGGGATTCAGGGGCTTAGGAAGATTGACTTTTGGAGTGGATTTACCATTTAATACCTGCTCACTCACTATGGAAGGGTTCAGAGGATGCACCTTTCACTACAACTGTGAGAAAGACACTGTGAGGGGAGCCCAGTATCCTTGAAGTGCTCCTTGATTGCTCTTCTTGTCGTAAATTATAGTGGGAACTGCTACATCTGATTGAGGGAACCTAAATGCAGTGGGGTTAACTGTAGCCCTGGGTGGTGGGGCCGAGTGGCAACAGTTGAGAGCCGGAGGCAAGGTGGACATAGTTTCTGTAAAGGACAGCAGAGTCAGACAACAGTGAGAATAGTCTGACCGATAAAGACCTGTAACATCGGCTAGTTGATCATGGTGTTCGTAGAAGTGAAACCCCTAGCAAGCCTACTAAGTCCTTACTTGATTTGTGTCAGTGGAACAGTTCTAGGTCAAGGCAACAAAAGTCTAACTTGAATCACAAAAACAGAGTCAGGGCTCCTCAACCAGTCCACCCACTTGAACCAGTTCTCAGACCCAGAACCTCTTGAATACAGGAGGGGGTGGGTCCCCTTGAGGAGGGACCATAATGTGCTATCAAAATGATACCGTTAATCTTTATCCCAGCCCTCGCAAAGGGACCGGCAGCCTTTGACGAGTGACTGCGTACTGGGGGAAAGGGATCGATCAGGCCTTTTCCCTGTACTGCTAGATAGGGGCTCTGAGCTGACACTAATCCCAGGAGACCAAAACTGTCCCTCTGGTCTGCCAGTCAGAGTAAGGGTTTATGGAGGTCCAGTGCTCAGGGGTGTTTTAGCTTGGGTCTGTCACCCAGAGGATCCAGTGGGTCCCGAAGCCCATCTTGATGCCTTCTAGAAGGCATAATTGGAAAAGATGTATTTAGCAATAGGCAGAATCCCCACATTGGCTCCTTAACCTGTCAGATGAGGGCTGTTAGGGTAGTGGAGGCCAAGTGTAGGTCATTTAAATTAATTGTTTAATTTACATTTACACTTAAAGATTACTTTTATGAAGGTGAGAGCAGTGTATTGTTCTGTCAGTGAAGTATATATCCCCGTGTCCTTACCAGCGCTGGATGTTAGTTTTCAATGTTATGTATAAAAAAAGAGATCGTGTTTGTATTATATTTTGAATGTCCTTGGTGCCAACACGATTGACCACATTTTCATGTGGTTAAGAGCCAGTTGATCTTTCTTTTTGTATCACTTGTGTCTTCTTTTCCTGTGCCCATTTTTTTTTTGCATAGTTCTACTTGCCTTTTTGTACAAAAGCAATCTCCAAGAGACTTTGGTCTTTGTTGAATATGGCCCTTCAGTCTACATAATGTATCCGTAAGCATGAAGAAATCAGGTCAGTGTTTATGTAGATCATTGCAGTCTAATTGCACTGACAACATCCCCCCCCCCCCCCCCCCCCCCGGCCCGGTGAGAAACAAAAGGACCAGCAGGAAGGTGACGATGTGGACCTTGAAATTTCTGTTGGTGGCACGGCAACTAAAGAAATTCTCAAGAAAAATCATCTCGTCAACTTCCTCAAACCAGAAATGTATTTAGCCTGCAATATAGATCTAATGCCCAGCTTGCAGAATTGCAGAATTTTCCAATTTGGTCTTGCTCCAGGTTAAAAAACATACCAGCTGAAAAATGTGAATTGGAATCATTTGCCATCCGTTCGTAATGTAATGACTGATTTCCCACTCCAGATTCAGTGAGCTGCAGGCGGTGGGTTTGAACCGAGTCCAGGTGGAAGGGGGCCAGACATATTAAATTTAAGGCGTCTATTGCACAACTCCCTGCAGAAATTGTGCAAATAATGTAGCTGAAGTGCTCTCTGCATGCTGTGTAACCCAGCTCTTTGGCAACCTGATTAATTCCTTGCCCTTTTCTATACTATGCACAGTTAGGAAATATACTAAAAGGTGACAGAATCCATAATAGAATCTGTCAACGTTATCCTCTTAATTTTCAGTTTAGAAAAAAATTTTTTTCGAAGTAGTCCTCTTGAAGCTAAGGTATAATAATTACCCACCAGTGCTATCTGCCTTTGTTAATCCCGCTAATGTCGGTCACGTCTAAGTCCAACCCAGAGCTGCTGGTTACTCTCCATTGATGTTGTATCCTACAAAGATAAAGATAAATAGACACCCAAGCTCATAAAACAACTGGCCCCATCCATGTAAAACAGCTTTTAATTGGACTACTTGAAATTGGACCAGCAACCACGTCAATGACGATTTCTCCGTATAGTGTAAGCGTATACACACAGCCTTCAGAGACTGAACTTCCACGCACCCTGACCCTGATTTTTGTGTCTTCTCTCAAAAGGAGGCCATGAAACAAGAGTAACTTGTGGGCATAAGTAATGACATACATTTAATCCAAAACTTGTGGTAACTCCAGTGTGAGCCTTTACAAAGACGGAGGTGTTGATGCTTTCAAGGTTCCAGGGAGAAAGGCATGCCAGGAATGACCTACCCAACTCTCCTCAAGTCCTTGAAAGCTGAGGCATGTCAGAAGGAACTCATGTGTCAAGTGGGTACATTTCTTTCCCCAAGTAGGAACATTTTAGAGGTGCCTTCTATCCTACTCCTTTTTCACTTGTGAATTCTTTCCTAATTGCACACTAGGAACCAAGGGATAGTTCAGTATTTGGCAAATGAAGTCTAACACATGACTTAGAAGTCAATTTGGCAAAAACAGGGGTGCAGTGACTTGGTGCATTGGTGATCTGGGGTAATGAATGTCTTGGCAGCTCGACGGAGGATTGTGTTACAAGTACTGGCGGGATTTAGCACCATTGGAAGCCGAAGAAATGAGTCAGGATGGATTTTATTAACGCCACCTGTAGTCAGAGTCCGGTTTTGCTTTTGTTTTCTGGATTTTGATTTCTAAACGCTTCCTTAAGAGCAGGTGACTTAGTTTAAATGGGAATGAACAAACAGCCCCAGGAATTAGTCACCAATTTGCTTTTAAGTGTCATATTTCATGTTATACTTAACAGGTATCACATGTTCATGCCGGGCTCTTTTGTATATTGACGTTGCTTAGGGGGAAAAGGAATTCCAAATAATAAAGCGCCGGGACACGTTGAGATGGTGCACATAAATCATGCTTCGCTGTAATAGCAGTGTATGTGTGAGATGTAATCATGCAGCATGCTACGAAATATTTGCGTGCGTGTGTGTATTGTGTGGGTGCGTGTGTGTATTTCATGTCTGAAAATTCTCTTCTTATGCAGTGTTCTAGCGGCGGCTTGCTGACCTAAGGAAAAACATCTGGCAATTAAATGGAAAAAATCGTAGGGTTAATTGATAGGGGAAGACTAATAGGATTCTGGCTGTGCTTGGGGTCAGAATGTGACCTCTGAGATATCATGAATTGGAAACTGGAAAACATTTTAGTTCTTGCACTTGAAAAAATATTTGAAGCAGCCCAACATGCCACAGCTAATCAGCGTCAAAATGTATTACTCCGTGTCTTCCTTGTAGAGGTAAGAGGTAAGGGCGTGAAAATAAGTTTGGTCTTTTGTTGTAGACTGAGTTATGTTCCCCGGCCCCCAGAATTGTTGAAACCCAAACTCCCAGTGTCACTGTATTTAGAGATAGAGCTTTTAAGAAGGTATTCATGGTTATGGGTAAGTTGTGGTTAAATTACGATAATCATGAGGGTGGTGCCCTAGAACTGGTGTCCTCATAAGAAAAGAAGGCATGTGGGTGGCTCAGTCAGCTAAGCGTCTGACTTTGGCTCAGGTCATGATCTCATGGTCCGTGAGTTCGAGCCCCGCGTCAGGCTCTGTGCTGACTGCTCAGGTCCTGGAGCCTGCTTTGGATTCCGTGTCTTCCTCTAAATATCTCTTGCCCCCTCCCCCACTCGAGCTCTGTCTCTCTCTCAAAAATAAACATTAAAATACAAACTTTAAGAAAAGATGCTGGGGATGTACACACAGAGAAAAGTCCATGGGGGGACAGAGAGAGGAGGCAGCCATGTGCAAGCCAAGGAGAGAAGCCTCACGGGAACCCAGCCTTAGCCAACATCTTGATCTTGGACTTCTAGCCTCCAGGACTGTGAGAAAATAAATTTCCATCACTTAAGCCATTCAGTCTGTTGTATTTTGTCATGACAGCCCTGGCAGACTGATTAATGTACCCCTACCCTTTTTTTTTTTTTTAATCTGGTTGCCTGAAAACAGGGCCTAAGGCACCATGGGTAAATAATAATATATTGAACTATCTGTGGTGCCAAAACAGTCATCTTGTATTATGGTGAATTTTCTGGAAGCGGACACAGCTCTGGCACCCAGCTTGAAATTCTTCTGATAGTGTTCAAAGTGTCTGTAAATGTAGTCAGAGTAGGTTGAGTGGGCGTCTCTGTTGTTTGCTTGCTCACATGTGCTCGGTTATCCCTGATTCCATCACCATGGCTTTCCTGTGAGGAACGGATCCTGTCTCAGTCTTAGCCCACATGATGAGGGTGTGGCTGATGCCACGTGATTCAGACCACCAGCCTCTTGCCAGAATTATTCCTCGGGAGTGGGTATGTGACAGTCACAGCCATGCAGCGTCAGCCCACCCACTCGAACTGAAACTCCTGCAAAAGAGATGTGCACGTCCTGCTGGATTCACTGACCCGACATGTTATCAGCCTGGACCCACTGGTGGCCATTTCTCAGAGAATCAAGTCAGGGTAGAAGCAGCCCAAGTCAAGAGGAGGACAAAAGTATGTTCCTGTTAGCATCCTTAGAGAAACATCATCAGGTCATTCCTGGGCTTACACTTGGATTTTCCCATTACTGGAACTCATCAGTCGGCCTGTTTGTGAATAAGCTGTTTGCGTTAGATTCCTGGCTCTCACCAAGGTCTCAGCCAAAAAAGCCATTCTGGCCACTATTGTAGCTTCAGATGAAAAGAGACATTTAAAGCTCTTGCCTTAAATGTCCGTCTCCTTGGTCTAAGTCATCCACGCTTCCGTTAGGCTCCTAGTAAGGCTGAGTTCAGGTTCCGTCTTTGCTTTGGATGGCCTCCTGGAGTCTTTCACCTCCTGGTGCCAGTCTTGAGGTGCCCAGCCTGTGCTCCCTTGCTCTGTTATTTTGTGTGTGTCGATGTCCTGAAATCCACAACCTAGAGTCTTGGGGTATAGATAGCCTGGAAAATCGGCAGTGAGGCAGTTCTCTGCAGTTTACGGGGATGGTGGGCTGAGGACAGATGGAAAGGGAAAGCCATCACTGGACAGAAGAGGGTGTCCTCAGCGCCTACATGCTATCTAGTAGTGGACGCAAAGCCATTAGAGGCTGATATCCACAGTCTTGCAGAAAATCAACAGGGTGTTGCTAGTGGAGGATGCATGTCGTTAGTTGCCTGGATGTGGGGTACAGGAGACTTCAAGAGTTCAAGAACTCTACGAATAGACGTGTACTTATTGTAGTGGGTTGAACGGTGATCCCTCCCAAATTCAGGCCTGCTTTGGAACCTCAGAATATGATCATATTTGGAAATGAGGTCTTGGTAGAAGTCATCAAGAGGCTCAAGATGAAACCGTCCTGGATTTTGTTGGGCTGTAAACCAGTGGCTGGCGTCTATATAAGAGGGGATGCAGAAACCCAGGGAGAGGGCCATGTGAAGACACAGACAGAGGCTGGAGGGATGTTGCCCTGAGTGGAGGAACACCAAGAGCAGCAGGATTTGGAAGTGGGAAGGAAGGATTCTCTCCTACAGCGTCCGGAGGAAGCACAGCCCTACCCAAACCCTGATTTTGGACTTCCGGCCTCCAGTACTAAGCGAAAATAAATTCTTACCATTTGAAAGGCCTCAGGCTTTTGGTAATTTCTTACGGCATCCATAGGAAGGGGGTGCCCTCGTGCACCTGTAAGTATGGGAAAGTGGGAAGAAAGTTGGAGATGCCGGAGATGGCTTTTCTAGAGACGTGGGAGTTTGTGTCACATTTCATGAGCGCTGAGATCACAAAGACCAGTGCTGTTCCCCGTGTAAGTTCTACCTTGTGCAAAAAAGTCCTTGTTAATCAGACGCTGAAAAGCCTTGTATGGTACCTGCTGGCCATTCCCTGAAAGGAAAAGCAGAGATTTGCTGGGCGCTTTTTGCAGTTCTTGAGAAGGGGACGGGATCCCATGAAAGGGAGCACAGAGCACAGTGATTTTGCTGTGGACCTTCTGCTGTGTGCTCTGGCATCCTGACAATTTGGCCATCTGTTTGGTGGAGGCAGCCCAGCTCCATCAAAGAGACAATATAATTTCTGTCAACTTCTTAGAAAAGCACCCTTGTAACACAACAGTCATTTAGCGGGTTCATTGTACGGCGGCGTCCATGTGCGTGACTAGGGTCACCGTTGGGCCCCCTGGCCTCCCACAGTCCCAGTTTACAGGTGTTGTCTCTGCCTAATTAATTACAGCCCTCCCCGTTTCACTTGGAACACTGTCCCTCTTTGGATGGTAAGTCACATAGCAACCTGACTTAGGACACAAGCCTTCATTTTTTGGAAAGCTCTAAAACTTCGCCACTTGCTTGACTTTCGTCTTCTCGCCAGCCCCACAGATTACAGAGTTTCAGTGGTTTGAAAACAAAGATGGAGGGGGTTTTTTTTGTCTTTTTTTTTTTTTTTTTTTTTTTTGGAGGGAATTTTGCTTGGGAATGAGAAGAGGGAAGTTGTGATTGATTTGTTTCCTGAAGACTGATGGGTCCCTCCGGTCCCCCGCTCCTCCCCAGCCCGGGTTCCTCCCTTACCTGCTGTTGGCTTTGCCCTGCCTCTTTCCAGAGGAATCTGGCCGCTTCAGCAGGGTGGCCAAGCACACACATCCGTGTCTGCGAAGCAGGTGTAAGCTGGGCCTTTTGCCCAAGCTTGGCCAGACAGCTTCATAAATCCTGCCCTTCCTGCAGCCCCGAATTACTTCTCATGACACAAAGCCAAGCTGTGTTATTCACCTAATGCCCCGATTTACAGTTCCCAGGACAAAAGAACATACAGATAGAGTTTCGGGGCTCCGTTGGCCTTCACGTTTATCTAAAGGTTAGTTTCAGGTCAGGCTCGAGAAGCCTGACGAATGGTGGTGAATAAACCTAAAAATAAATTACGTGCAAGGGGGAAACTGAAGCATTCCTTGTTCTTGTGCCAAAAGCACACTCAACCCAATTTGCGTTCTTTTAATATCTGAAACAGGCTGCTGTTCTCTCATTTGTGGCGTGCTGGGGAATTAGCATGCTCCCCTTTGGATCACGCACATGTGCATGTGCGTCTGCACAAACGCGCGCGTGTACGCACACACTCGGGTCTGCACAGTCTCCATTTGGGTGTTCGTTCCTGTGTCTTCAAGGGCCTGACTCACTAGTGGCCTTAACTAGTTGGAACAGAAGGAGAAAAGCGCTTCTCTGGAAGGGTGCTGTTGGGGCCCAGGAGTGCAGCCCACTGTCCGGCCAGGACCAGGAATAAGAGGACTTCAGGTTAGAGATCTCATTACTTTAAAAATAAGAACATCTGGGGCACCTGGGTGGCTCAGACAGTTAAGCATCTGACTTTGGCTCAGGTCCTGAGCTCGCGGTCTGTGAGTTGGAGCCCCGCGTCGGGCTCCGTGCTGACAGCTCAGAGCCTGGAGCCTGCTTCGGATTCTGTGTCTCCCTCTCTCTCTGCGTCTCCACCATTCATGCTCTGTCTCTGTCTATCAGAATAAATGAACATTAAAAAATAAGTATCAGCATTGTTAGCCCACGTTTTGCTCACGTGTCCCGCCTTAGTCTCGCCTTAGTCTCTCTCCATCTCCTTTCTCCTCACCATCCCAGCTCTCAGGAAGCATTCGGATGGTAAGATAATGAGAAATAGGATGTAATTGACAGTACCGTATTAACTCATCTCTGGGCAGGGCTAATGGTTTTCTAAAAGTAAATAAATGGAGGCCCTGCAGCCAGTGAGCCTCTTAAAATCAGTCTCACTGGCACGGGAGCATCACCAGTTGCAGATGCCCCTGCGGAGACCTCAGGAACCCAACAGAATCCACCAGCAGGATGTCCACCCCCAAGGCGCTGCTAGGACAGCGCTGAATTCTCCAGGCCCGGCTAAAGAGTATTTCTAAGAAAGACAGTAGCCAACAACAGAAGTCCACTTTCCCTCCTTCAGAAAACTGCAACCAACTTTGAGACTGATCCTACTCCTGCGAATTTTTCTCTCTAGATGCCTGCTTTCTCAATGATGTAAAACTTGCCTTCTTCCACCACCACACACCCCACCCTGCTTCACTTTTCTGTTCATGAGATTGGGATAGAAATCTAAGGGAAGTAACACATTTGTAGGGAGTAAACGCACTGATCCCATCCAGATTTCACCGTGGGTTTGTAGATTCTAGCTTTCCTCATTAGAGAGCTACAGAGTAAGCCCAAGATTTTTTTTTTGATGTTTATTTATGTTTGAGAGAGAGAGAGAGTGGGGGAGGGACAGAGAGAGAGAAGGAGACACAGAATCTGAAGCAGGCTCCAGACTCTGAGCTGTCAGCACAGAGCCTGATGGAGGGATCGAACCCACAGAGTTCAAGATCATGACCTGAATCGAAATTGGACGTTCAGCTGACTGAGCCACCCAGGGGCCCCCCAAGCTATTTTTAAAGTTTTATTTTGAGACAGCAAGAGCAAGAGCAAACAGGGGAGGGGCAGAAGGAGAGAGAGAGAGAGAGAGAGAGAGAGAGAGAGAGAGAGAGAAACTTCATCCAACAACCCTGGGATCATGAGCTGAGCTGAAATCAAGAGTCAGGTGTTCAACCGACTAAGCCATCCAGATGCTCCCAGCACAAGATTTTTTTTTCTAAAGATCAGGTCAGGTAAAACGCACCACAGGCAAACTTCTGAAGGCAAAGAGGAAGTGTGGCTGATAAAGGTGTTGTAGTACCTGGCTTGATAAATCTGCCCTGGGACTCGTGGACAGTAGCATTTGGAGGGAAAAGGAGCTTGTTGAGTGAATGGTGTGAAGGAAAGATGTGTCCCAGGTAAAGATGTGTCCCATCCTGCACAGGCTGATGGGGTTCTACTGCAAACCCTCGTCTGTCCTCCTAACAAGTTCCCTTGATCCACAAACAGTACAATGAATGAAATCTCAGGGGAGCAGCCTTTGGCCTCTGGCTCGTGGTGGTTGGAGAGTGAAGTGGCCCAAGTGTGGATAACGGAGATGCGTTTTACACAGGCTCCTGACACGTCCCAGTGGGAGTGCCTCCTCATTGCTCGCGACAGTAACTTGCTCTCTTGTGTTCCCTGTCTCATTTCCCCTCCCCACTTCGGGAGCTTCATGGATCCCCTCACAAATAAAGTTCTGGTATTCATACTGTTGTCTGGGTCAGCTTCTGGAGGATCGCAATTAATGAAAACCCAACATATTTGTAGAAGGGCGAGATAAGACCATGGGCCTTAGGTGGCTTGTTTGTGATCCTCATAGTAGATTTGGAAATGGCACAGAGGATGTGGTCTAGGAGTGTCTAAGTAGACGGGTAGGGGTTACATAGAATGTTAATTGCCAG